AAAACAGCTCAAGGGTCGGTTCGGAACTAGTGCCTGTCTCAAACCAGTTCTTTGAGTTTTGACCATCAAAGAACTGTTATGTGGCAACCCCCCCCCCAAAAAAAGCCCTAGAACAATATTAAGCCCTAAATCATAACATATTAAAGTTGAGAACTTAAAATTATTGAGAAACCCAACAGTACCCAGTTGTTTCAAGCAATGCTTTATTGAACTGCTAGATTATTTTAATGGGGTCAGAAGTACATTTAGGATGGCTGCCATGCAAATGTAAATAAGCCAAGTTATCTTTGTGAGCTAATGCATGCTACAGCAACATGGTATTAAGCTGTTCTTCTAAGCAGAAGACAGAAGATAATGTTATTTCAGAGCCTGAAAGGGCAGCTGCCTCAATTTCGCTCAAACTCACCCTGACTCTGGGTCTGCAGCTGCCTGTACTCATGGCAGGCATATTCACTAAGAGACACAGACTCACCTAAAATATACTCTAATTGACTTCAAGAATCTTAGTCAAGACTATTGGCACCGATGATTGGATTTGACTTTGTGACATATTTTCTATCATCAACTGAGTAGAAATAGGACTTAGGAGAATCCTAGTCACAAACATGATTATAAGCTGAAATGTATAATTCAGGTTTAATGTAAAAAAAAAAAATCTTTAATGATGCAGACATATGTTCACAGAAAATCCACAAATTATATTTCTGAATACTTTGCCATCTGCTTGCTATAGATCCGACCTTCATCAGCTCCAGTTTCATTCCTGATGAGGAGAAGATCTACTTCTTCTTCAGTGAAGTTGGAAGAGAGTATGACTTCATCGACAAATTTATTGTCTCTCGTGTTTCTCAGATCTGCATGGTAAGGGTAAAACTACAAACTTGATGCAACAACCCCTCATACAAGGAGATTAGTTCTTTAGTGGCACATTTTCACCAATTTTCTTACAGACAGCTTGCCACTCTACACAGGGATATGAGAAGCCATGTAAACCTTAGTACATACTGTACCTCTCACTTATCTCTTATCTTACTCTTCATTCATTCTGCTCTCATATACATATTGTTATTCTCATTTTATGTATTTTTACTCATGCACTCAGTGTTCACTTTGTTAGATACACCTGTGCAATCCAATACAACTGCCATTAACTTTTAAGGTATCTATAATGTAGAGCGTTATTTTTCATCGTCATAGAGGTATTCATTCAATTCTGTGTTATAGTATTGAAGTCATAGTCAGAGGTGGTGTTGTACAGGACTGCATTACATTCAGAAATGTTACTTATAATCTTACAACCTACTGTATGTTAATCTATAAATCTATAAATTAAAATATTGGAAACACCTCTCAATATCTGGTGATAGTCCAATAAAAGACCAACTCTACATAAATGTACAGAGGATGTAAGTCAATAAGAACCAGACCATATGAGCTTCATAAATTGTCACTGAGTTTATATATACAGTACATCATGCTTTTGTTTGCTGTGCAGTGGTGGAAAATATTGTTATGGCTTCAGAGCCCGTCCCATTTTACACGCTTGTTTGATTTTGCATCATTTTGATCATTGCAAATTCAGCAACCCATAATTACTCAATGAAGACTTGTTTTCTTGACATTTTAGGACATCTCTCACGTACAAAAATATTCATACCCTATATTCAGCACTATGTTTAAGCCCCTTTGCCAGATTTTATTCTCTCAAGCTCTGTCAGATTGGATAGGAAGTGTCTGTGAGCGGATGGCTTCAGGTCTCTTGACTGAGTTAAAGTCTGGACTCTGTCTGAGACACATTAGAGACTTGTCCTGAAGACACTCCATTGTTGTCTTGGCTGCTACCTCGAGTCAGTCTCTTGCTGAACTGTCATTTATCGCCTAACCCACTGTATTTTGCCACATTTATCCGTCATTCCCTAAAACATCATTTTCAGTAGTACTTAGTCCATCAGCTGACTCCAGTCTTTGCAGACCTGTGAGCCGTTAGAACACCTGACAATGTAACATTACATGCAGAAGGCTTGAATATTCGCTCTGATTTTTGTTGTTGTTCACTCCTCCAGGGGTTGAGGTGCTGTATCTTCATTGGGTTAGATGAAACTGTGTGGGTTCTTACACCAGCAGATAACAGTGTCACATTGTGCTTGATGCCTTCTCCCCCTCTTTGTCAGAGTGACATTGGTGGCCAGAGGACCCTGCAGCGACGCTGGACCACATTTGCAAAGGCTCAGCTATTGTGCCAGGCTGACAATGAGCTACCCTACAATGTGATCCAGGATGTTGACACCCTCCCATCAGCAGAGGGAGCTTCTGCAGATGACACTCTGTTTTATGGCATCTTCACCTCACAGTGGTAAGTAAGCTTAAAGGCCATGAAATGAATTACTCTCCTTTACCTGAAGCTCTGGTGGGCTGTATTCCTACTGCATCACTGTAAATGACTTTACTTTGGTCGCCAAAGGTCAAGGTCACAGTGGTCTCAAAAACTAAGTTTATATCTAAAGAATACCTTGATGAAATGTCTTCAAAAAGGTCAAGGTCATGATGGCCTCAAAAAACATGTTTTTGGCCTCTTGAATGTGATATCTCAAGATCACCTTGAGGGATGTTGTCACAAGGACTCACTAAT